TCCCGTGAAGGACACGTGGATGTGCCTTCCCCAGCTGCAGCTGCCAGGGAGAGCATGCCCCAGTGAGAAGGAACAGCTCTGCTACCTCTCCCAGAAAAAAGGAGCTTCAGGGAAGTCAGCTGTGGGGCGGTGCTGGACCAAAACATGTGCCTCCCTTCAGGTGAGCTCCTCCTGGCAGCACTGCTGTGGTCAAGGGTGGGCAGGTAAAACCCAGGACCCTTCTCCAAAGCCAGAGAGGCTGCCAGCACAGGAGACAGCAAACTGCCCAGGGAGGGCCTCTCGCTTGAGTATGGCCCAAGACTGACACCCACCAGGGCAGAAAACACTCTAGAGAAGGAAAAGCTAGTAGAACTCAGAGGGCAGCCAAGGGAACTGCTGCTACGAGCACTTGATTTTGATGAGAAAAATTGCTGTTACACTCTCCGAGAAGATCGCCTCAAAAGGAAGCAGAGCACTTGCTGCAAATCCCCTTTGTTTCAGCTCTAGGTGTCTTCTCACTACCGCTAAAGATCAATTGCAGAGAAGGGCAGCTGCCTGCCTCTTCCTTTGGCACAGAGAGACACGGTGCTGTTTTCCCTTTCATCTTCAATTTAATTAACTATGCTGAGCCTCTTACTGCCTGTCTCGCTGTGGACCCTGCCTGCTGACACCACAGGTGGCTGCACTGAGAGGCTGATGGGACCACCCCCACTAGGGTCAGGCAGCATCTGTCTGCCCAAGGCACTAATTATGCAACCCCACCAAGGTTCAGATGCTGAACTACCTAAGTCGGAATTGGAAAAAAAACTGTCCTCCTTCCCCTCCTGTTATGACCTTTGAGGCACGCCCCTTGCATCTGAAGCCTACAGGACAGATCTACAGTGTTGTTTAAACTCCTAAAGCACTGGCTGACAATGAGAGGTGAATAAAGTGCCAAAGCAAAAGGCAAGAAGTCCAGTTACTCTGCAGACTCCAACCATAAGACTTTATACATAATGAAACAGGCCAGTCATTTTCATGATTTGCAGCTTAATTTTCCGCAGCTCCACTTCATCCCCTTGCTGCTAGATCTGACTTCCTCCCCAGACTTCCTTCTCTGCCTTTCCAAATATCCTTCACTGGCTCATACTGCCTTTCTGAGAGAGATGGCAGGAGAGCCAGCACACACCTCCTACTGCACATCAACCCCTCCCAGTTCTCACCATCTTTACAGCGTCATGGTATCCAGTAACAGATGCAATGTGTAGTATCCTGCTGCTCCACTGCTACCACCTCCTCTATGTAGATTCTACAATTACACCCACTCATCTTAGTGCCGTTTACACTACTAACATATGCTCACAGATGCACCTGCTGTCACCCTTAGCCTCAGAACCACCCCGAAGACCCCTTGCTCCCCGCTGGCTGTAGCTCAGGTGTAACGCGGAGCACCCCAGCACCCAGGTCCATAGGGGTGAGGACATGGAGCAGCAGCGGAGCAGGAGGGAGAGCACCATGGAAACAAGCCTGAGCAGGGAAGGAAACACATCAGCTTACGCTACAGCAAGCCCATCAGTTAAAAAAAAAAAACATGGAAAATGCATCATTTCAGTTGACTGTGTTGTGATCCTGAAAATCCAAGGATTAGAGAAAGGAGCTCTTAATGCATTACAAAAAGAGAAAGAACTCTTCTTTGCTGACAGATCAGACATGAGGGAAACCCACACACACACACATTCTCATGCCTGACTCCACAGGCTTGACAGTTTTGGCGAGGACAACCCCTTCAGCTCCTCAAGCAGCCTCAGTCGTGAGCACGGCAGCATAGCTGCTGCCAGGGGTGGTGGGGAGCAGGCACCTGGTGGGCTGGCTGTGGGGCTGCGGTGTATTCGCAACACCCCCCTTCTGTAAGGGGAAGGAGTCTCCCCGCATGATGCTGGCAGGCACGGTGGACCCTGACTGCAGAGGTGGCCATAAACGGGAACCCTGGGCAGGGCCCCAGCTGTGCAGCCCAGCTGTGCCCTGGGGGATAAACCTCCAACCCAGAGCCCCTAGCACCTTGTGGCTTAGTGCTGGCTCCCAGCCTGGCACCAAGCCCTAGTGCTGGCTCCCAGCCTAGCACTAAGCCCTAGTGCTTTCTCAATGCACCTCAAATATACCAGGGGAAGCTCAGAGGGACACAGACATCTCCCAGCACCAACTTCTGGGGCCATTCTCTCCCCACTGCCCTTCTCTGCTCTCCCCCTTGGCATGGACTACTTCTTCCCAGAAACAAGCCTTAAAATCCTAGTGGCAAGGTTGATCCTTATATGCTTGGCACAATATGCAAACAGACATTACCACTCCCCAACATCAAATTTGCCTTTAAGAGTGTTGTCAGGAGCTGTGGATGCTGAGGAAGAACCAAGACAGGCAGCACTGTCTCGTGAGGCCATGGGAGGTGATCCTGCTGGGGACAGCAGTGGTCCTGTTTGCCCCTGGCCATGTTGGATGGAGTTAAAGTTGCAGAATGAGAGACCTCTGCTGAAGAAGCATCTGTGGCATCGCTTACCTGGCAGCACCACCTTTATTCCCACGGCATTGGACCTGGCAGTGGCTGCTGGCTGCCCCAGCGGCAGGGTGTTCCTCCTCCAGACCTCCACTTCACACTGGTACATCCCCTCGTCGGCAGCCACGGCATTATGGATGCGAAGCCTGAAGGAGGTGGAAGCCTTCGTCACCTGGGCTTTCTCCTGGAAGTGTGGCTGTGCTGTCCCCCAGGCCACAGTGCCACTGGGAAAGACCCGGACCAGCTCATGGTAGTGACTGGTGGGTGGGCTGGGCTGGAAAAGCCACCCCATGGACACTGGCACCTCTTCGAGGGTGTAGCTGGCGCTCACTTGGCAGATGAGTTCAAAACTCTGCCCATATCTGACAGTGGCAATTCGGCTTCTCAGTGTGATGTGCAGACCCAGACCTGCTTCGGAGAAGAGAGCCCTTGGTACCGGCACAGAAACCCTGCCCCCCATCACCTCGCTGCTACCCTTCCCACACAGCACGGTGCCTGCTGTGCCAGCCACCGCAGCCCCAGGGCAGCCCACAGTCCTGCTGGGGTGCTCTCCCCCGAGATGCACTGTGCTATTCCAGCCCCACATGCTCCCTGGCCCTCTCCTGCCTCCCACCCCCAGCCCCCCACACAACCCCGGTACCCTCTCTCCCAGACTCCCCAGTTCTGCACCGTGGCAGGGAGCTAGGGATCCTCTGCTCATGCTGTTTCCTTCCACCCTCTGTGAAAGCCTAACAGCTCCTGTGGCCCAGCTGGTGCTCCCAGGCACTCCGCCCGGCAACAAGAAGGGAGAACCACCCTGAATTCCAGCCAAGAGCTGCCCCTCCATGAAGGCATCCTTCCCAGCAATCAAAAGAAGAAACAGCATGGGCATTGCACACCAGGGAGGGTAGCAGCTCTGGGCTCCAATGGAAAGGCAGAAGCCACCAGATGCTAGCATCAGGGGCCTATCTCTGACAAAGACCACCATACAACTCCACAAGTACCTTTGTTGAGCTTAATTACTGTAAACAGGTATTTACAGAAGACAGTCAGAAAGGCCTGCTGAGCAAGCCACTACCTTTTAGGTCTCTGGGCATTTTAGCTGTTGTGTCCCCCTTGTCTCTCCCAAAACATCTCATGGAGGACTCAAGCACCCTACTGAAGCACTCAAGGGCCAAGCGATAGCTCCAAATCACCCTACAGCAGCAGTGGAGCTCAGAGCACAGCAGCCTCCTGTCCTACCCATGTGAATCCACCCGCCTCTCCAGCCTTGCCTCCAGTGTGCCCGGCTTGAAAGCTCAGAAACAGGGGTGTAAGAGTCAGTCAGAAGAGGAATATTGTGACACAGGGGTGACCCAACTCACCCACGGAGCTGACTGTCACTGCTGTCTCCCCTTCCTCTGTCCAGCTCTGGCCTCGAGACCACTCCGTCGCTTTGCACAAGTATTGTCCACCGTCACCCTCATCCAGTGTGTTGGGGATCACCAGGGTGAAGGCACCAGCGCTCACCTTCTCTAGCCGGAGGTTCCCACGAGTTCTGCCATCCTGGTAGGTGCTGCCCAGGCTCACAGTGCCATCTCGCTCCATGGCGGCCACCAGCACCCAGGGACCCAAGTGCTGCGGTGACAGGTGCCACCACTGCACGGACACAGGGTTGGCCACTCCTTGCACCTCGCAGAGGAGGACCACGGCATCTCCCACCATGACCTGCGGTGTGCTGGTGGACACGGACAGGCGCATGTGGCTCTCTGCAAACAACAGTTACTGCAGGGGAGGGGATATTGTTGTGCTCCTCAGAGAAAGCCAGAGATACTGTGGCATGAAATGGAGAGGACAGGTAAAGCTCAACACCAGAAAAGGAAGGGAATTGTCTGAAATTTTCAACCAGCCTTTTCTTATACCTTTGGAGAGGGCTTTGTGGTTTTGTTTGCTTTGATGGGGTTTTTTGTATTTTTTTTTTTTCCTTCTTTAATATCTTTTCTGGACAAGGATACATAAAGAAATACTTAAGAAATAGTTCCAACAAGCAACTCCTGCTACATCAGGATAGTTGTGATCTAGTTGTAACAAGGAAACCAAGTGTCTCCTATACATCTTTCTTAGAATGGTTTCTCACAAGTCATTCCTCCATAACAGGGAGAGCACCATGATGGAAATGACAGCGATCCCCTCCATACAGTAAGGACCTGTTCTGCTGGGTCGTTCTGTGAGCCTCAGGAGTAGCAACATGCGCTGCTCACAATTTTCTGTATGAAAGACACAGGAAGAACCATCCCCCCCGACCCAGCACTCTACTTATTTGCCCCAAAACTTACTGCAAAGAGACAGGGCTAAAGGTTTACACTTTGCTGATGGCTGCTGCATCTGTCATGCTAATGTTTGCCAGAGCAAGTGTTTTTTTCCATTATTATCTACCAAAATCTATGACACATTTGCACTTTGGTTATAAACAGGTGTGCTGCCCCTGTCAGGGATCACTGCAGGCTTTAACCAGAAGAATAGTCATTAGTATTTACTAACCTATTGGCTTCACATCAACTTGGATGCCTGATGACACATTGGTTTGGATGCTGTGAAAGTCTCCAGGAGTCTTCACCTCAGAAACAGAGCAGTGGTACGTACCATTGTCCTTCAGCCCCACCTCATAGATGATGAGGACATAAACTGTGTTGTTTTGCTTGAATGCTTGGAGCTGCCCCAGCTTGGCTCTCTCCTCATATTCTTCCTCCCAGGTCAGTACCCCATGGGGGTCAACCCTGGCCACTTCCATGCCATTGAGGAGCCAACGCACTTGGAAGTGCCTGTTGCTGCTCTTCTGAGATCCCAATGTGCAATTTAGCTGCAAGGAATCACCTTCAGAAAGGGAGCCTTCAGCAGCAGTGATTTCCACAGAGAGGTCTCTGCCTGTGGGCAATCAAAAGCAAAGAGGATGATGAGTGGCCTTGCCCATGCTTCCCTCCCACCCAGCAGCACCAACAGTCATGCAGAGGGAAACAGGAAAGAATTCTCTATTGAAACATTTTCTTTCATTAGAAAAGTGATCAAGATGGAAAATTTTGGCCATAGGGAGACGGTTGCCAGCTCCAGGCACTAACCAGCAGTCACAGGTGGAGGAAGCACCAGAGCCCTGAGTTGCTGAGCTCCCTTCTTCAGAGGAGCTAAGGCCCACAGAGTAGAGAACCCACAAGGATGGCCTCTGGCCACAGCCACCCCCCCGCCCCCAACCTCCTGCTCAGCTCATCATCTGAACCAAGGGCGGCCGTAACCTAGAGCCACCGGCTTTTGCGGAGGGCTGCTCCATCTTGCCTCCTGGAGCTGTCCTGCCTCACATAACAAATATCCCTTAAACCAGCAAGGGGCACAAAGGGCCTTCATTGCTCAGTGCTGTTTGCAGCTCTGCTCTCTGTGGTGGGAGAACCTGTGTGGAGGGCTGACATTCAAGCTGCTTGTCTGAATCTGATGCTGCTGGTCCTACATGCTGCTGCTCCCTCTGGCTGCTCTGGGATGTGGGCAAGAGATGCTCCCCAAGCTGGAGACGTCTGGGGTTAGTTCCTACAGAAAGCAGAATTATCAAGACTTGTCAAAGCGTGAGGAGTTCAGAGGGAAGCAAGAGGGGTGGAGGTCATCTCCTAGTCGCTGTCCTGACCCTATATTGACGAGCAGCAGTTAGTGCCAAGCAAAGAGGGTGGCAACAGAGGGAACACAAAGTCATCTTCCCCTTGGCAGATTCTCTCAGGCAGTCACCTGCACCTGATGTAAGGACCCTGCCTTATGATATGATTCACCTTCCTTGGAGGAATTCAAAGCCTCTTCCACTCATGTCCCCTGGTTGCTGGCATCAGCCTGGTTGGAGAGTGGCTGCAGGCAAACACTCACAGGGTGCCCCAAAACTGGTGCTGTGACCCCACACAGCAGCAGCATGACCAAAAAACAGGAGGTAGGGCTGAGTGTCAACTCCCTGGGCAGGCAACCTGGGCTCATACCATCACCTTGGGTCACTGTGGTTCCCCCATGTCTGACAACCAGGGCAAGGCTGTAATTTGGAGGCAGAACAGAGCAGCTCCTAGACTGCCACTGGAAGGGCACAAAAAATTTATTTAAAGCAGAGTACCCTGTGAATTTAAACACTGGTTTATAAACACTTTGCATACAGAAATCCCAGTCACTGCAGATATGTTTGGCATTCCTAAATATTTGCTGGAAAGTTTATAGAAACCAATGGAGCAGTTGGCTCCATGATGGATGGTCAGAGTGGTCACTGACTCCCAATGTGATGGCTGGCTCAGCCCTGCAGCCCGGGCTCTCCCACGGGGTGCTAGAGGGAATCCCCAGCCCTGCAGATGTGATGGAGGGCTTGCACGCCCGCTGCTGTTTCTGCCCAGCAATACCAGCAGGTCCAATACATCTACATATTGTCCTCTTACCGCTACCATCACCCCCTTCTGCCCTGAACGGCTGCCACAGGGTGAATACTAAACGCTGACAAGGTTTCTGTATTCCTAAACAATCCCGTGGCACTGGTACCTGAATCCACACGCTACCAGTTGTGATGAACCCTCTTACCCCAGGGGATGCAGGAAGGTGCACCGACTGCCAGTGCTCACCAGGCAGAAGCAGACGTGGAAAGCCATTGCTGCAAACAGTGTGCAATAAGGGGAGTAAAGCTTTGCCAGTCAGCCAGGTTTCAGGAACTGGACTCTGACAGTGGGAGACTGCACTTTGCTTCTCCTCCCCCAGATGCCTTGCCCCCCCTTGAGCTTGGGTGCTTGGTCCTGATGTATCTGTTTCTTTGGTTTCCTGCTCTGACTCAGCACCTCTCTGGAGACACTGGTTCCCGTCACTGCCCCAGCTCTGCAGTCTCCTCCACCCACCCTGAGGTGTGCGGGCAGGTTACACCACCTCCTCAGGCAGGTTCTCAGTAGAGACTTGCTTCTGGTTTACTGCATACGCTAAAGGGCATCAACTAGACACAGACTCGTCATAGCTGCTTTGAGGCAACCCTTACTGGTGGCAAGTGAGGTTTTCCCTTCCTCTGGGCACAGTGACCTGCAGGCAGCTGGAGAAAGGGCAGGGCCAGTGACTGCAGCCAGAAAAGCCAGGAGGGATGGCAGGCAGGATGCTCAGAGGAGCAGCAGCAAGCACACAGTGCTATAACCATCACAGGGCAGTGGGAAGAGAGGGGATTTCCCACCAGCCCTGGGCAAGGTGATGCAGAACTTGCAGATGCCAGGAGCCGTGGGAAGCTGCTGGGCAGAAGGAACAGGAGGTGCCTGGCAAGGACAGAGAGGAGCGGGAATGGACAGGCAGCACTGGCGAAAGGCTGTTTTTCAGACTTTCCTCTTTTAATCCATCTCATACACGGTAGCAGGCCTAAGTCTCCTCCTAAACACCTACTACATTTTCCTACAGCATAAGCAAGGAACTTGGTGTACCCACTTCAGAGCACAGTTTGACCCAGTCCCATTACCACCATATATGAACTACTAGGAGGAGAGACAGGGATGGCCTGAGAACCAGCAACACCAGTTGCTCTGGAGGCCAGCAGACTCACAACAGCCCAGACAAGCCACCTCCAGCAGACACCAGAGCTATGCAGCACATACAGCACATCCCTGTGTCCCTCAGGGCCTGTGGCCAAGGCACCACAACAGGCAGCTGACTTCTCTTTAGGTTTGGAGGCCATGAGACCCTTAAGGCAGTCTAACAACGTGGTTTTCCACATGCTGGAACTTAATGCTGCCAAGGAGCCAGCCTGCTACGGGCACATGCTGCTCTCTCTGTTAGCAGCCCACACGTGGGCCCATGAGGTTACATGATCACTCTCAGCACTGGAGATTCAGCTACATGAAGCTCCAAAGCAAGGAGCACCAACAGTTCCCACACCCAAGGCTGCCACACCCTTGAGCCCGGCCCATTCCCCTCAGTGCCCAGTGGAGGCAGCCAGACCCACCAGTGGGTACCTGGGCTGCAGCAGAGGCAGGTGAAGCCCACTGAAGGCTGCTGCTATAGAGCTTATAATGCACAAAGAGGCTGGAGCCAACGTGTGAGTTTGCAATGGCCTTACCTTGACTCACAACAGCCAGTGTCATCCTCCCCGTTTGCTTGCGGGAGATGTCCTTCCACATCTGATCAGGATCCTCAATCCACACAGCTGCCTCACAGTACAGCTGCCCCTGGTCGGATGGCTCCACTCCCCTGATGGAGAGCTTGTACGTGGTGTTCCCAACCTTGTTCAGCTGCACATCTCCCGCCAGAAACCTCGGCGCATAGGAAGGCCCTGGCTTCAAGACAAAGTCCTTGGAGAGGGTGAGCACCTCCTCGGCACGGTGCTCTCCTGCTCCATGAAGATGATACCAGCCAACAGAGAGATGCGTGTGCTGGGCAGTGGACTTGGACACCTCGCAGGTGAGCTCCACTAGGTCCCCTTCATTGTGAGTGAGGACCTGGGGCACCATGGACACTGAAAGGGTGTCTGCAATCACTGAGCATGGGGGAGAAACACAGAGCAGCTGGTCACAGGAAAAATCGTCTCTTGACCTCGATGGGCAACCTGCCAGCCACTACAAAACACAGGCAGGCCCTAAGGGATCTGACAGTGTAGGACAAATAACTTTTATAGCTGATTGACAAGGCTTCCATCAACCTATGCAAAGGCATGAAGCTGTTAAAACCTCAGCAGGGAGGGAAGCACAGTGAATGTCTCTGCAGTACCTTCTTCAGTCAAACTACAGGCACTATTAACTAGGCAGCCCCAAGGACATAGACAATGTGCCTCTCACGATCCCAAGTGCAGCCTGGTACAACACCAGAATAAAGGAGGAACAAGGGTGACTACCAAGTGGAAGTACCATACCACCATGTAGACTTGATGGGCTCTAGGCAGGCCCTTTCCCTTTGTCTTTCCACCCTATTGCCTTCTCTTTCCCAGTGCTCTGCAGAAGCTGCTCCCTCCCTCCATCTGTGGGTATCCTGCTTGCAGCAAGTCCCACACCCTGAATTAAGAGGTCATCAACAGCTAATACACAGAGCCTGAAAGTTCTGCCCTCCTAAATGCTTAGCTGTGAAATGCCGTGGCTGTGTCAGGAGATGAAGCTCAAGTCAAACCATGGGACAGAAGAAGCTTCCTCTCCCGTCCTTGCCCTGGCTGGGAGGCAACAGCCAGAGCAACCTGACGGGGAGATCTGAGCATCCCTACCTTGCCCACCTGCGGGTAGGGTAACAATCCCACAGTGGAGAGAGAAAGAAGATTTGTGCTCATCGGTCCCATTAATCACCCCTTTCCTCAGCTGCCCCCGTGCAAAGGCGAGGGCAGTGGAAAGCTGCCTGCAGCCCTGCCTGGCACGGGAGGGGGCTCTCCTTCAGGACCCACCTGAGAGGTTCGTCTTGGCGCTGTAACTCCCAAAGTGCCTCTCGTTGGTGTTGGGCGTGTGGCACTCGTACTGCCCGGCGTCGCGGTCCTGCAGGTCGGTGATGTGCAGCAGGACGGCGTCCCCCTGCACCCGCTCCACGTAGATCCCCCGGCTGCGCACGCGCTGCGTGTAGATGGCGTAGGGGAAGGACGGGTCGACGGTGCTGACGATCTGCACCTCCCGCTCGGGGGCCGAGGGCAAGTAGATGGACCACTGGAAGTTCTGCTCCGCTGGGCCCTGGTAGCCGCTCACCTTGCACCACAGCGTGATGTGGGACCCCTCCGTGCGGTAGAGGGGTCCCTTCTGAACAGTCACCACCCGCTGGCCAGAACTCAAACCTGCCAGCAAACAGCACACACCGTGTTTGCGGGGCTGTATGCTACCCAAGGGCTGCACACCCAAATCTGCCATGGGTCTGGGCGTGCACAGGACTGCAACATAATGCTGAAAAGGACTGCTCTGCACTCTCATTTTTTTGAAGCGTGAAGTCCAAGGGACTTCACACTCCCTGCAATTGTAAGAACAACCGACCTTGAAAATTCCTTGTCTCCTAGCACTCTGGGAGTCACACAAGACCAGAGCATCATGGCCAGAGTGCTGTCAAGTGTGTTCATGGCTGGAGAGCATCTCTCAGCCAGTTGTTCAGAGAGAGCAGCAGCCAAGCTGAGTTCACCAGAGAAAGCCTGTGGTCTATTAAAATTAAGAGGGCCAAGCACTCGGTTCCTGCACATCCTGGGGGTGAAAGAGCAGGTGCAAGGATTGACCACAGCCACAGAAGGAGATGCAACACAGAAGCCAAGGAGCATGGGACAGCAGAAAGAACCAGCAGGCTGGGTGCTGCAGAAGTAGTCCATGGACAGAAACTGGGGAGGGAACAGAAGATGGGGACAGTAAGAGCTCCTCCAACGGCAGGGCACCAGGAGGCATCAAAAGCGCCCTCCATTTCTGCTTGCAGAGGGTCTGGGGAGGTGATAGCCAACCACGCGCCTTCCCCTCCCACAGTGGTGACAGTTGCTCTATTGTTGTGCCCAGCATGCACACCAAGCAAAACTGTTCACGGGATGTGGGCATAGTCAAAAAACAAGCATGGAGACTGAGCCAGGAAAGGGAAACGATGGTGGCACAGCCTAAGAAACCTCCTCCCAAGGGAAGAGGGGTGTAGGGTAACCCCCTCCACACCTTCCCCCAGCAGCCACACAACAGAGGTGTGCACATCCCTGCACACTGACACCCTGCCAGGGTCCAGTCTATTGCTTTGGAATGAAACCACAGTACTGGAAGAAGAACAAGCTGCCACACTTCTTCCCACGGCCACCAAGGCAGAGCAGTGCTGGCCCTGTAGCCCCAGCAAGGAACACTGTTGAGCCACCCAACCACCAAGGTTCCGTCTGCGTCGATGGGGTTATTTACTTCCGCCCTCACCCGCCCCCAAAAAGCCCCCAGCACTGGGCAGGGCACTCACCTAGGAAGAAGATGAGAAGGAGGAAGGCAGCTGCCAGGCACCGTGTCAGCTCCATGGGAAATGGCTCTGCTTGGGTCCTCTTCCAGAGGGGCAGTGGAAGTCTCCCTCCTGGGCGAGAGCAACAGCCGCTCTGCCGCTGGGACAGCGGCTGGGAGGAAGCTCCCCGTCGGCTGCGGCTTCCGCTGCTTAGAGGCGGCAGGGAGAGCCTGGGGAGAGGGGGGCAACAGCACACGAACACACCTCAGGAGGTGACAGCTGGCACCCCGACCCCACACCACCTAGGCAAGATGCCCAAGACCCCTCCTACCACTCTGCGTGTGCCAAGTCCCTGGTGCCACTGGCTGTGGCTTTGGTGTCCAACAGCAGCTCACAGGCTAAGCCCCTGCCTTGCAACTCCTGCTCCCTGCTAACTGAGGGGCTGGACCCCAGGGGGGGGCTCTAGGGCTGAAGGTCCCCCCAGATATTTGTTTTCCATAGCTGCAGACAGCAGTTCAGGCACTGGCTGGGGTGGCACAGTGTTCCCCAAGAACCGGTGACTAAGCTCTGCCTTGGAGTGAAGCCGGCACTCCCACGTCGGGTGTATGT